ACGAACACTGTAGTGTTAATTAGGAATTGAAATGTGCGCTGGTGGCCATTTAGGTTACTGGCCCCCCACCTGTACCCTTTTCCCTTGCAGCAATGGTCTGCACACTGACGGCCTGCCTTCTTTGCGGACATCATTGGCAACACAGGCAATACAATTCTTTCCCATAGGCAAAAAGCTGCGCCTTTATCAGATATCAGATTATTTTTCTGAGACAGTCTGATTGAAATAGCAGAGTTTTACTATCGGGTAGGGTTTCCTGAGAATTGTGAAAGTTACAGTCCACAACATATAGAAATAGGTAACCCCAAAACCATCTAATGCTAGAGACCTCCATAAACATTATAGTGCCTTTAAACCTACATTTAAGCTAATCCCCTTCCATACGCTAACTTGGATTTTAACAATGTTGAGCTAAATATCTCAGACATTGCTTTGTGTTGTCAAAATGTGGTGTTTCGTTATGAATTAAGTGATATTACTGTATCACTACAAGCAAGAGTGACAGTTCAAGCCTTTACATGTGAGATACGCCTGTTTCTAATTGACTTTGACACAAGTGGTACTAATTGCATGTTGAGTACCATAGGAAAACACTAGTTCTACCAGCTAATTAATATTTTTTTTTTTATCAGTTTCTTGTGAATTACATCATATAACTGTAAGTCCTAATGAGGAAGGAAGAGCTGCGGAGTAAAAGGGAGGTGCTATATAAATGTAATAATAAATAAATATTAGTGATGTTATATTTTGTTAAAAAGCAGCATAGCAATGCATAAGTATATTACGTGTATGTGTGTATACATACACCACCGTATATACCACATTGGACATTGAAATTCTAAGAAATCATGATTCCACAAATAAACCAGAATTCCCTGCTCAATATGCAGATGAGCACAGAGAGGCATAGTTTCAGACTTTTAAGCCCAAGGTGAACTTCCCAAAGTCTAACTTGAGATATGCACTTAACTATATGCTATGTAGCTATATATGTAGCTAAATGCTCTTACATAGAGAATTCAACTTACAAACCAGAATTGGAATCATTATTGATTTCTGGTCCGGATCAAAACCCAAGCATTGGTTTGGAAAAAGAAGCAGTGTTTAAAACAATATTCCATTGCTAAGGACACCTGCAGAAATGGATGAGGTCTGAAACATTTGCATGCTAAACTTGGTTTTCTGGGACTTGTGGAAATATGATATTGGTCATGTTTTTGGCGATTGTTGTATTTTAATTTTCAAAAATAGATGGACACAAGGATTTATTTTAGAAGCTCTTGTATTAAAAGGTTACTATAATCTGTTTTTAGCTTTATTATGTACTATTGGCCATTATTATCCTGGCCCCCCATATATAAAAATAAAAATAATATATTAAAAATAATAATCTACTAACCATTTAAGGACCACATGACGCTCTTTGCGGTCATGCAGTGTAGTAAAATTAACAGCAGGAGTTAAATCCCTGCTGGAACCAAGGATTCCCAGGTATCTTTTGATTCCTGGGGGTCCCTTCTGTCAGCAGGGGCCACAGCTAGTGACCGCAGACTGACCGATGAGCTTTGAGCAAAGTGAGTGCTGCTCATAGCCCTTTATATACTGTGCCTGAGCGATCTTACTGAGCCGTTGTATTTCAGTCACCGCCACCAGCCTGCAGAGGTAAAAAACAAACAAAAAAAACCCAATAATTAGTGGCCCCAGACTGACAGACTGACAGGAGGGCTATAAGCAGTGCACATAGTGAGTTCTGCGATCAAGTTCCTGCTGTAAATTTCAAAATCGATTTTCCCTGCTTGCTATCTGAAGCTGAATTGGTGGTGAACATTACCAGTTGCCAAGCACCAATCTCTGGGTGCTACAGTTGCAGCATGAGAGTGAGCTCTCCCTCTCATGTTCCAGTCAGACTGTACAGAGGTATCACTGAGCCCTCTGTATTGTTTGAGCTAGGAAAGTACTGACAGCAGAGGGAATATCTTGACAGATGGAATTCATGGGGTGGGGGGGCATTATGGGTTTGATTAAGGTTGTATTAGCGATGGATTATAGGTAGAATTAGGATTAAAGATTGGATTATGGGTTGGAGTAGAGGTTAGATTAGGGGTAGAACAAGGGGTTAGATTATGGGTTGGCATATGGGTTTGATTAAGAGTTGGATTAGGGAGATTACCGGAGAAGGTATACTTGTGGGTTATCATTGTACTCGAAAACATTAGCAGAATAAAAATATGCTGTGTTTGCAGTAGAGGGACACTTGTGGTCTGTGAATGTCCCCAAAATAAACCATATGTGGAAACCCCACAAAAAAAAACAACCTAGGTTTGTGATGAAATGGTTAAATGAAAAGTGACAAAATGCTCTTAATTACATAACCTTGGGGAGGTACTTTCTACAAATATATACTTTTTTGTAGCAGTTTTGCTTCTCTATGAGAAGCATTTGATTGGATTGTTTTCCCCAATTCAGAGTGCATTTGCTGTGTGCGCTGATAACAGTCATTACTGGAACAGAGTTCTGGGCTGCCTAAGTTACATTTGCTGGGGGTGCAACTAGGCCACATCACAGAACTGCTGATTGCTCTGTATGTGCAGAACTTCAAGTAGAAACGCTGCACAAAGAAATCCCTATCACCATGACTACTTCTAAAAGTAGAAGTGGTGATGGTGGTTGGAGTAAATGAGCCCATACTATGTGCTACATCACATAGACTGACATATTGTTCCTATATAACCTAGATAAGTGCAAATGGCAGTTATATATAAGTAGAAAAATTAAAACTAAATAATTAAAATGCCATGCAAAAAAAAAAAAAAATTCCTAATTTCTCACATTTTTGTTATATTTTATCCATATAAAATTATGTTTCATATTTAAATATTTGATTTAAAATGAACGCCTTGTTTCCCCTGCATAAAATGACAAAATTATATGTGGGTGCATTTAATGTGAAAAAGGTGAATTACGCCTGAACAGACATGTAGCTCAAATTCCAAGTTTTTGTTTACATTTTGTTATGATCAGAACGTGTACAATTGCCACCATCCTTATGGGGTTAACCCCCTAAGGACTGAGCCAAATGTACATGTTGTGATCAAAACAAAACGTAAAGAAAAAACTTGAATTTGCGCTATATGTCTGTTCAGGCGTAATTCACCTCTTTCATATTATGTGCACCCACACTTATTATATATCATTTTATTCAGGGGAAACAGGGCTTTCATTTAACATCAAATATTTAGGTATAAAACATAATTTAATATGAATAAAATATTAAATGAGAGACAATAAGAATTTAAAAATTTTTTTTAGTTCTACGTGACATTCTAACTGTGAATGTCATAATACTGTTTGATTTTACTGCAATAAAATACACATATTTGTATTTAGCGATGTCTCACATGTAAAACAGTACCCCCTATGTACAGGTTTTATGGTGTTTTGGGAAGTAACAGGGTCAAATATAGCACATTACATTTTTCAGTTTTTTCACATTGAAATTTGCCAGTTTGGTAATGTTGCCTTTAAGACCGTATGATAGCCACGGAATGAGAATTACCCCCATGATGGCATGCCATTTGCAAAAGTAGACAACCCAAGGTATTGCAAATGGGGTATGCCCAGTCTTTTTTAGTAGCCACTTGGTCACAAATACTGGCCAAAGTTAGTGTTAATATTTGAAAATGCAAAAAACGACTTTGAACTTCAATTTTGCCCAGTGTTTGTGACTAAGTGGCTACTAAAAAACACTGGACATACCCTATTTGCAATACCTTGGATTGTCTACTTTTGCAAATGGTATGCCATTATGGGAGTAATTCTCATTCCTGGGCTACCGTACGGTCTCAAAGGCAACGTAACCAATCTGGCGAATTTCAATGTGAAAAAACTGAAATGCAAGCCTTATATTGGACTCTCTACCTTTTTGAAAACACCATAAAACCTGTACATGAGGGGTACTGTTATCCTCGGGAGACTTCGCTGAACACAAATATTAGTGTTTCAAAACCGTAAAACGTATCACAACAATTATATTGTCCGTGTAAGTGCCATTTGGGTATGAAAAATGCTTTTTCACTGACAATATCGTCATTGTAATACATGTTACTGTTTTGAAACACTAATATTTGTGTTCAGTGTCCGAGTAAAACAGTACTCCCCAGGTTTTATGGTGTCTTGGAAAGTTACAGGGTTAAATATAGTGCTAGCAAATTAAATTCCCTGGACTTTTGGCCTGGGTTGTCATTCTGGTCCTGCTAATTGTAATTAATAAAATTACCTAATTATGTAAAATTATTACATAAATATATACGTAGAATTATATATATGTGTGTATATAAATATATGTATATATATATGTATATAATTTTTTACAATTATTTTTATTTATATATAGGTATAAATATATAGTGATATATACATATATACTTATGTATATAGATATATATATTATTTCGTTCTACATGTATTTTGCTATCAATATATATATATATATATATATATTTTTCATAGAAAAAAGGTGCACTCACAGGACTTCTTCCATCAGTAATTTTATTCTAAGTTGTGCATTACATTCGTAATCTTCAATCAACGTTTCGACCCCTAAAGGGTCTTTTTTTTTATATATATATAAATTTTAAAATACAGTTAGAACGAATTTACACATATTTATTTATTTATTTATTTATTTATTATTTTTTTTATTTATTTTTTTTTACGTATTTAAAGCTTTATTTATTTTAGATTATATATAAATATATATATGTGATTAAAATTATCTATATATTTAATCAATATCATTGTACGTGTATTTTGATATTAATATATATTTATAATTATATATATTAATATTAAAATACACGTAGACAGTGTATGTGTATGTGTGTATATGTGTATATATATACTTAGATCATATATATATTAATTATATATATATAGTGATCTCCCGAACGGTTCGCCGCGGACGGCGAACATAAACATAGACTTTGACCCTGTACCTCACAGTCAACAGACACATTCCAGCCAATCAGCAGCAGACCCTCCCTTCCAGATCCTCCCACCTCCTGGACAGCATCCATTTTACATTCATTGTGAAGCTGCATTCTTAGTGAGCTGTCCAGGAGGTGGGAGGGTCTGGGAGGGAGGGTCTGCTGCTGATTGGCTGGAATGTGTCTGGTGACTGTGAGGTACAGGGTCAAAGTTTATGTTTATGTTCGCCCTCCGTGGCGAACCGTTCAGGACATCACTATATATATATATATGATCTAAGTACATATAATGTTATTTTACACTGTTTTAAACTTTAATTATTTTATTTTCAGGCAGCAGGGAGAGTACCTGTCATTACAGGCACTCCCCCGGCTGGCATTGCAAGGACCTCGCGATCACATGGCCCAGGGGGGCCGAAGAGGACGGAGGGGGGCTCCCCATACCGCGATCGCCGGCTACCGGTTAAGTAGAAAGAACGGTTTGGGCGTTCTATTCCGCCCTCTGGCGTTTAGAGCCGGTTCCTTAAGGACGGCATAGAACGTCCGCCGTCCTTAAGGGGTTAATCTAATTAATGTCGTATCTCCTGTACTGTTAATCGCTTAGACTTTGCAGGAGCCTCCTGTGTGTGATTAAAGTTCACAAAATGTACACAACATTTACAGAGCAGGATATAACAACTTATAAAGTAAGTTAACTTCTGATTGAAAATGAAATCTTTTGTTTCTATGCACACTGTATGAGTCAGGGGAGGGGTGGCTGGAGCTGCATAAACAGAAACCAAAGTGATTTAACTCATAAATGGCAAAGCATGGAGGGAGGCAGGGGAGGACCCGGGGAGCTCAACCAGCAGCTCCGCCGGGTTCCTCTCGCAAGATCTGCAGCATGGAGGGAGGCAGGGGAGGACCAGGGGAGCTCAACCAGCAGACACACACACACACACAGCACGCACACACACACACATACAGCACACACACACACGCACATACAGCACACCCACACACACAGCACACACACACATACAACACCCTCAAACACACAGCACAGAAACAGCACCCTCACAAATACACACACAGCACACTAACAGGACCCTAACAAACACACACACACACACAAACACAAACAGCACCCTCACACACACATCACACTAACAGCACCCTCACACACAGCACCCTTACACACACACACACACACACACACACAGCACCCTTACACACACAACACCCTCAAACCACCCTCACGCGGCACACACACACACAGCAGTGTATGTATGTGTGTGTGTGTGTATATATATATGTGTGTGTGTGTGTGTGTATATATATATATATATATATATACACATACATATACATGCGGCGTGTGTTTGTGCTTTAGGGTGCACACCGTAATGCAATAGGCTGCGCACGCATATGTCTAAAGGTGTTTAGGTGACTTGTAGAAAAAGCACTTCTTCAGGTATGATTTATTGACACCATCTGTTACTTATTTAAAACTTTGGAAGCATGGAGGGAGGCAGGGGAGGACCCGGGGAGCTCAACCAGCAGCTCCGCCGGGTTCCTCTCGCGAGATCTAAGCATTGCCGCGGCAAAACTCAGATCTCGCGAGAGTGAACTGTCAGGGTTTGTTTGGGAAGTAGTGCTGCACAGAATATGCAGAGAAACCAACAGGATAGTATCTTTCTCTGGAACACTGAGGGTAACACATGATAGCAGCTTGCTCTGGAACACTGAGGGTTTGTGAGGGTTTGCACAGTATAGCAGTTTGCTCTGGAACACTGAGGGTAACACAGGATATCAGCTTGCTCTGGAACACTGAAGGTTTGCACAGGATAACAGTTCTACAATACTGAGGGTAATAGGATAGTATCTTGCTCTGGAACACTGAGGGTAACACAGGATAGCAACTTGCTCTGGAACACTAAGCTTTAGCACAGGATAGCAGTTTGCTCTAGAACACTGAGGGTAACAGGATAGTATCTTTCTCTGGAACACTGAGGGTAACACATAATAGCAGCTTGCTCTGGAACACTGAGGGTTTGCACAGTATAGCAGTTTGCTCTGGAACACTGAGGGTAACACAGGATAGCAACTTGCTCTGGAACACTGAGCTTTTTCACAGGATAGCAGTTTGCTCTAGAACACTGAGGATAACAGGACAGTATCTTTCTCTGGAACACTGTGTCAGGATTACAGAATGATCCAGCACGTAGAATTGTGTAACACAGAGGACTGATAGGTAACGTATACCGGACCTTAGAATGGCCGGACTAACGTACCAAAGAGAAGTATATGAGATCTGGTCTGCCTAATGCAACACACAGAGATATCTCCAGACAGGTTTTGGGTGTATCCCTATCTTAGTTCAGTTTTGAGCAATTCACTTCAAGTCGGACTCCCTCATCTCTGTGTGTTGCATTAGGCAGACCAGATCTCATATACTTCTCTTTGGTACGTTAGTCCGGCCATTCTAAGGTCCGGTATACGTTACCTATCAGTCCTCTGTGTTACACAATTCTACGTGCTGGATCATTCTGTAATCCTGACACAGTGTCTCTGCTAAAGATTTAAAGGTATACACACCACACATCTCACTTCAACCATCATCAACTGTTCCAGATATTGACATAACTATTATATCCAATTGTACTAATTAAGCCATACAAAAGCGAATTAGCTCCTGAACACACTGCCTTGAAGGTATCACTGTCCTTTAACGTACCAAAGAATAGTCAGGAGTAGCCTAGGTCAAGGGATAAAGAAAGAGACACAATGATAAGGAAAAGCCAGGAGTCAGGGATGCCAGAAGACAGGGAAGTCAAAAACAATGCCAAAGTCAAATAACCAGAATAACCAGAATCAATAACGCGCTCTCGGACAACCACAAGGGAAACCACGACAGGGCACTGAGCAGGATGAGAACTGGGCCTAAATACCCCTCCTCTAGATCTGATAGGCTGTAACTGGCCTTTGACCCCAAAGGCAGTTACCAGGTTCCCATTTGCATAATAGCTGCACAGCACAAACCCTGCTGTGGATTTGGTTGTTGCTCGGCACAACTTTTCCTGTGTGAACAGTTATTGCCATTAACCACATTTTTATAAGCGGATGAATACGTGACACACTGAGGGTAACACATGACAGCAGTTTGCTCTGGAACACTGAGGGTTTGCACAGGATAGCAGTTTGCTCTAGAACACTGAGGGTAACAGGATGGTATCTTTCTCTGAAGCACTGAGAGTAACACATGATAGCAGCTTTCTCTGGAACACTAAGGGTAACAATGAGCAAGAGCTCCAGGAACAGGACAGAGGCATCAAGGGTTTCAACGGGCAGGGCACAGAGAGATCACGCCTGAAACAAAACCAGTGAACTGGCAAACAAGAAGGAGCAAGTCTAAACAGGATAGAAATGAGATAATTACAAGGTAGGGCAGCTGGGAACGGAAACAAACCTATTCAGTCTGGGTGCAGCAGCATCTCAGCCAAGTAATGACACTTGAGAGGTCCTGTACCAGACTAAAAGAATGGAAACTCGGAAGGTAAATGTAGAATTGTGACACATGTTCTGTTTTGTCTTGCTCATCAATTTTTTGCATCTTCACTAGCAGCCTTAAAATGTTTTTTTCCCAAATGTTGCTTTAATTTTCCAATCCTATCTTTATGGAGTTCTACTTAAAGGTACACTATAGTCACCTGAACAACTTTAGCTTAATGAAGCAGTTTTGGTGTATAGAACATGCCCCTCCAGCCTCACTGCTCAATCCTCTGCCATTCAGGAGTTAAATCCCTTTGTTTATGAACCCTAGTCACACCTCCCTGCATGTGACTTGCACAGCCTTCCATAAACACTTCCTGTAAAGAGAGCCCTATTCAGGCTTTCTTTATTGCAAGTTCTGTTTAATTAAGATTTTCTTATCTTCTGCTATGTTAATAGCTTGCTAGACCCTGCAAGAGCCTCCTGTATGTGATTAAAGTTTAATTTAGAGATTGAGATACAATTATTTAAGGTAAATTACATCTGTTTGAAAGTGAAACCAGTTTTTTTTTTTCATGCAGGCTCTGTCAATCATAGCCAAGGGAGGTGTGGCTAGGGCTGCATAAACAGAAACAACGTGATTTAACTCCTAAATGACAGTGAATTGACCAGTGAAATTGCAGGGGAATGATCTATACACTAAAACTGCTTTATTTAGCTAAAGTAATTTAGGTGACTATAGTGTTCCTTTAAAGGGAAACTCTATACCCCAAGAAATTAGCTTACTGACATGCTTTATGTGTTAGTGGCATGTACAAAGTAAAATGAACACAAATGCCAATCAGAGAATTCAATACAGGGAAGGGAGCAAGTCAAGGAAAAAATTGCACAGGTAGGCAGCTTGCTCTGGAACACTTATGGTAACACTTATGGTAACACAGGATGGCAGCTATTGAAAAAGTAAATATTTCAAAAGAAATTAGCACTCATAAATAAACCTGATTACACCCGGTGTTTCTTTGTGGTTGTTTAACTCAGTGGAGCTAAATGCAAGAGACAGACAATTGCCCAAAGCATCTGGCTTGAAAAGACAGATAGTCTAGGCTGAGTTAGAAGAGGAGGGCTTGAAAAGCAGAGGGAGTCCCCAACATGGGCAATATTATATTTTAAATATTTTAAACACAAATATCCTTCCAATCAAAGATGGAGAGAGAGCCCCTGCCCATAACTAAATATGGATGGAGTATATGGAACAATTTTATCCGAGAAGCTTAAGCTATATACCCAGGGCCGGATTAACATAGGGGCTGATGGAGCTGCAGCTCCAGGCCCAGGCCCATGGAATAGGCCCATTGATTTTGGGGGGGAAAAAAATATTTTTTTTTGTACTTTTTTTGAATTTTTTTTTTTTTTACACATTACTCTTAGGGTTGCCACCTGGCTGGTATTTTATGGTATTTGAGGCTGCCTGGCCAGTGCCAGCATTGCAGTAAAACCCGCAATACAAATGCCGGCATATTTCTATGTATAAACAGAGATTACTCTGCAAAACCTGTGCCGGCCAGTAGGGGTCACTGTGTGTGGAGAGAGGCAGGGATAGGTAGTTACAGCATATCCCTGCCTCTCTCTACACACTGATCCATGGGGGAGCAGCTACACAGCACAGAGAGTCCAGACAGCAGCTCCCAGCCTGCAGAGACAGACTACAGCTCAGGGAAG